TGACTTTATATTTCCTAAACATGGATATATAGTTCTGTGTTTCTAAACCAATTGTTTTGAACGCCCACTACCCTACAAGGGGAAATTTCACAAAATAACTTCTAGGCAACATTAATGTGTAGCCTACTTACTTCTTGTCTGCTGTACTCTTTCGGTCTAAAACACAGAAAATACACCGATGCATTATTCTGCAGGAAAACTAAACCTGTAAAGTAAAATAATGCATACTTTATTTAGATCAGTTTGCCTCAGGTTTGCGTCATTGTATCGCCCCGCCTTTGGGACCCTACGCGCTTACGTCAGTGTCTCACCAGCCAATCAGAGGCGCGGTGTTGTTTCGGTCCAAATTTCAAACGTCGAGACTCCACAGACGTGAACGTTAGCGTTACGGGCAGAAACATCGCGGCCATTCTTGGATCATTTAGGAAATTTAAACCCCGTTTTTAATCGGTGAAGAAGAGACATTGGTAGTCATTTGTGCTGCCCGTGGACACAAAATGAGAGTGAGGTTAGTAAAAATCTGTGTATTTATGCCAAATGCGTGCTATTAGTTGTTAGCTTTATCTTAAGTTAGCTCATTTAGTTTGCGGACGCCAATGATCAGAGAAGTTTTATGAATGATGATTAAGTCAGTTTACAGAATATATCGTGAAGTCTCCCTTTGTTATTTTGTTTATGTAATTAGCATAATTTATCATTTACTTCTGTTCAAATTCAATCGCCAAAGCATCGTCTAATGGAAATGTTAGTCACGTTGGACTGTTAACATGAGTAAGAACTGTCCATTGTAGATTTTGTAGTTTCATCAGGATAATATCGGTAATACTGATATGCTTAAGAAAGATCGTAAAGTAGGAAATCGTTGGACATGAAATGGGAACACTGTATTCACTTATGGTCTTATTTATTTTCAGTGAGGTCCACGCCGCAGAGTCCGTTGCTTACTTCAACAGGGCTCTGGTAAAATTGCAGGATATTTGGGAGGAAATCGGAATCCATGAGGAGCAGCGACTTCAAAGAACAAATGAAGTCCACAATTACATTAAAGTGGGATACGTTTTCTTCTACGGTTTGGTTTTGTGAGTACTGAAGTGTATATTAATGTCTATCCCTTACAGGGTTTACTAGATATGATGATCACAGAAGAGGAAGATCTCAGGAAGAGACTTGTTAAAACCATTGAGGACTGTCGCAAAGAAATGAATATATTGTGCAGTGAACTTCAGTTGCCCCCATTTGAGGTACTGATCATCTTGCATGTATAAAATTCATAGGGCAGTAGCACAGATTACTGTACCCATTGTGTTTTTTGTTTTTTTTTTTGTTTGTTTTATAAAAGGAGGAAAGCGGCTGCACCATTTTACAGAGGGAGAAAAATAGTCGCTTACAACTAGAGGGCCTCAGAAACCACAAAAAGCAACGGATGGATGAATTTAAAAACTTTATTGCCAAAGATTGTGAGCTTTGTGACATTATGAGCACCACACCTTTTTCCATTGACAAGGACTCTGTCCCTTCACTGAAGCAGCTGGAGACTTATCGTGCCTACTTGGACGATCTGACCAAGGAAAAGGTTTCACTTTTTTTTTCTTTTACATTATCATAGTTTTGGACTTTGTTTTTGTTTTATAACATTTACATGTGAATTTTTTAGGAGAAACGTCATGAAGAGTTTATCAGTTTGAAGGAGGAGATTGCTCAGTGCATGGAAGACCTGGAACGCCAACCTGAGACAAGTTTTGAGATGGATGTAATGTGTGAGGATGAAGAGTCATTTTTTCTGTCCACTGAAAATATTTCTGCGCTTAAAATTCTTCTTAGTCAGGTATCACTTTTTTCTCAATTTGCAGTTCACATTTTACATATATAGAACTTTAAATTAATGAAAAAATATATTGTACTCTTTCAGCTCAAAGAGAGTAAGGCTGAAATTGAGATGCGCTGCATTTCTTACCGCACAAAAATACAAGAACTCTGGGAACGACTTAAAGTCCCCCAAGAGGAGCGAGACCCTCTGTCTGAACACATGCTTAAGACAAAAAAGAAAAACGTAGAGGCAGTAAGGACCAAATTTTTAAAATATATTTTCATTAGTTTTTGCTGTACTAAATGTATACTTTTTCTTTTTACTTTCAGCTGCGGATAGAGCTCCAGCGACTAGAGGTGTTGAAAATTCAAAGCATAAAAAGTGTGATTGAAGCGATCAGGGCAGAGATTGCACTTTTGTGGGAAAAATGCTTCTATAGTCAAGAGCAGTGTCAAGCCTTTTCAGCATATCAAGATGGTATTTCCCTTTTTTCTTTGTAAATTGTATTCTTAATTCTTGTGCTAAAATACCTTTTTTTTTTTTTTTTGAAAGATGATTTTACTGAGGAGCTACTTGACTTGCATGAGGCTGAGATCAGCAAATTAAAAAAGTGTTATGAGGACCATAAAGAACTGTTTGATGGAGTCACTAAGTGGCAGTCCAACTGGACATTATATTTGGAACTTGATGTAAGTATTTAAACTTGCATTTGATCTTGTATTGAGTCCTGCAAACTGATTGTCTTTTCTATACAGAAAAAAGCCAATGATCCTGCCAGATTCAACAACAGGGGTGGAAATCTTCTTAAAGAAGAGAAGCAGAGAACAGACTTGCAGAAAAGTATACCTAAGGTGTGTTTTTTTTGTTTTGTTTTTTAAGTTGGGAGTAAATGTCTAAGATTTTGTATTTCCCTCTTTCAGTTGGAGAAAGTCCTGAAAACCCAAATAGATAGTTGGGAGCAGGAGAATGGTAGGGAGTTCCTTGTGAATGGGCAGAAGTTTCTTGACTATGTTCAGCAGCAGTGGGAGAACCACCATAATGAGAAGGAGAGGGAGAAACTGGAAAGGGTATGTGCCCCCCCGCCCCCCATCAATGCTTTAATGTGTACAAGTTTAGCAAAGTAATTTTGTGTACTATAATACAGCAACTCAAGAAAACCAAACAGATTCAAGAGGACATGATGTTTGGAACTTCTATCAGGACACCATCTAAAAGGCGCATTGCTGGAACACCCACACCTGGCAAAATGAGAAAAGTAAGACCTTGAACAGTAAGTTCTCATTTCAGCTGCAAGTGATTTGTTTGACTAAATGCATCTTTGTTAGATGAACAGTGCCTCCACATTATCCACTCCAACCAGCTTCCTTGGTGGAACCCTGTGCCAGTCATCTATCCAGAAACCACCCTTATCAGCTAGCAAGGTGTGCACATAACCCCTGGCAAATGTCTATAAAGACTTCACCTTTATATGTCCTACTCCTCGATGCATCACCATTCACTGTCACATTGTAAATACTGTTTGTTACAGAGCCTTGGTTTGCGAACGCCTGGACAAATGAAGACTCCACGCATATTAGAGCGAAATAAGGAGAACATCTCCCATCTGCAGAGAAACACTCCGAGTGCCACACTAAGGTCTCAGGATACTAAAGATCACACCTTCACCTTAAACCCTATTGCGGGCTCCTATGTGGAATTTGCGGTAAATGTGGCTCTCAATATATTCAGTCACGTCTCATTCAAAGTGTCTTGGTGAATCCTAAATTTTTGCGGTGATTAAAATATCTAATCTTCATTGGTGGCTGCAGCAAAATGAGGTTGACCTTTCTTAAACATGAATGAGACTCTCTGGCATTTCTTCTTCTTTAATGTAAATTGCATCTTTACATATTGTATTACATCCTAATTTCCAGGCCACCTACACATCAAATAACCCTATTTATTCATTATACATGGATGTATGTTGAGTCATCACTAACTTTAGTTTGTTCTTTACAGAGAGACCTCACGAAGGCTTCTAAATCGAATGTGAACCCACAAGTACTAAACTCCACGGTGAGTCACCAGTGATGTGGGACTGCGCAGCATCAGAGGCTCTGATTCATATGTATTTTATAATTGTGCACAGCAGGGAACTTTAATGTAAACCTCCTCAAAAAAATGTAAATATTTCAATTGTGATTACTGAGACTCGAATTGTGTCTTTATAGATTTTATTTGAAGGATGTCTGTTTCTTGGGTAGTTTGTGCTCTTGGTGTGATGTATGCAATGTTTCCTTTTCACTTTTTTTTTTTTTAAATCCCCTTAGTCCATAATCTACATATCTAGCTCTACTTTTGTACTAGAGCTTTAAGTCAGTGCACTATATTTCTCCAGCTGGCACAGCCGCTACATTTGCTCTTGAATTTAAATATTTTTGAGTGCATTTTTATCCAGCTTGTAAATAAACTTTTTATAAAGACTTATCTTATAGAAGGCCCAGCCCTTATTTTTTTGTCCATCTGATAAAGGAGAACTATCAAGCTCATAGACATGTAAAAGGGAAAGCTGTCTTATTTTCAGTAAAATTCTTGTAAGAATCACAATAGTTTATACTCCAAACCCACAAATAAAAGATTCACACAAAACTTATAGGAAATTTGCCTGGACTTTTTATTTTAACCTACCCAAAAATCCACAATAAATTTTTTGGTAAGATATACTTCAGCTTTGACATTGGAATTGCCAAAACCCAAGAAATAAATGTACTGTCTATTGGATGATTCATATATACAGCAGCTAAACCTATCCTTACCAAAAATGATCTAGGTGGAATCTGAACCATGATTTTCCTCTGCATAGCTTCTTATCACTAAAAACTGGATCCAAAACTACAGAGCCTCAGATTCACAGAGATTCCAACAATTTCTCTAACAACAACAAGAATTTCATTTGAATTTGAGCTAATTTCAATCAAACATTTTAGGAAAAAGAGGCCTGCCAGATAAGGGGCACCATAGTCAATTTAATTTAGCCCATATGTGTCATGAGATCTTCCAGAGCCTTCTCGCGGTGGTTTTCATGAACCAGCAGTACTTCTTTGATAGCTCTCTGTTGAAATCCCATTTCTTTAAACTGTGTCAGCAGCTGCAGGAATTCAGCAGCCTGAAATGGGTAAGCAGTGTAAGAAATCTGATATAGATACAAAACACATTTGTTTTCTTTAAAGTCCTCTTTACAGTCTATGGTCCTACCTTATTTTCACAGTTCTGAAACATCTCCAAGGCTTCCTCCACTTGTCCCTCATCATAACCAAGCTGACACAGCCGCTCACTGGTACCCAAATACTTCAGAATCTGTTGAATATACAATGGTGTATTTGTTTTTTAAGCATTTTCCTCCATTGTTTTGTACCTTTTCTGGGCTTCTGTAGCCTGTCCTGTGCAGGGCCATGACAGCTCTCCGTAAAGTGTAACCTCTCTGAGTGATGATTTGGAGCAGCTCTTGTTCCTCCTGGCTGAGAGCTGACAGGAGTTCTGCTGCAGTATCCAGAAAGGCCCCACTGTGGAGATCAGGGTTCAGATCCTGCTGACAGAAAATAAGCACATTAAAAACAAGCACAGAGCATTTTCAAAGTATGGTGTCCAACCTTTTGTCTGTGGTGTTTGACCATAGGCCCTGCAGAGGAAGGGCGTTGTTGCTGATGTCTTCTCTCACCAACTGGGGCTGGATTTTGGGGGTACTTCCCACTCCCCAGAGACTTGCGGCGCTTCTTGGAGTTCTTTTGAGACAGTGGACTGGCCTGCTGTGGCCTACGCTCTGCTGAAGATGGTCTGCACTTGTGAAAGGAGGGCAGGCAGTTTCTTTGGACCTTGAGCCCCAGTGGAGAACAGGGTCTGGTAGACCCCCCACACAGCTCTTTGACTTGAGGGGTTGCACTTTGGGGCCGCTCCATCATTTGACCTGGGGACTCTTCATAGTGAACCTCACTGTTGTAGTAGCTGTCCTCATCAGAGTCACACAGGAGGAAGCTGATGTTGCGGCGCCGCTGCCAGGAGTCTGCAGAGTTCAAGCTGCAGCTTCGGGGCCGTGGGCTGAGGGCCCACAGGCTCAGTCTGTGGCTGTTCAGATAGCCATTGAACAGCAGCCAGTACGGAGGGCAGGATGGGGGCACTCTGGGCAGCTCAAGCCCACTCAATGTCCACTTCTCTAGACTGAATTCATACTGTGGCCGAGAGAGAAACAGCAACCAAAATTCCAGACCAAAATGTATGGTTATACATACACATTCACTAGTTTTAACTAACTGTGAATCAAGTGCAAAGCAATCATGTAAGTGTTAAAAAAGATGGTTTATGGTTACAGTTACTCTATCCCCATTTAAACAATTTTCTACTTTTTTCATAATCTCAGATATTCTATACATTTACATAAAAAATATTTTATACTTTATATATATTTTACCCTGACCTGAGTTTCTTGTAGTATTTGAACACAGTCAGGGATGGAGATTTCTGGAGATGTGACTTGTGGTTCTCCCTCCTGCAGTGGGCCCAGTACCGTCTGAAATGGAATGTCGTCCAGCGTATTCATTATAACATGAGGCAAAGGTCTGCTGGTGGGATCCAAATCTCCTTTGAAATATTAGGTGTTCCTGTCTGTGGTCTATGCTGCTAGTTGTGCAGCTGATTAACCTGTTAAATCTCCTCATCACTAAGCCTTTGACATCATTGTTTACCAATAATATCTCAGACACCTCTAAGCCTAAGTACTGAGGTACACATAAGATTTATTCATGAGGGAGGAGTAATTCTTTAATCATGTAATATTGTCATTTGAATGTGTCTCCAACACAAATATAATTTGTTAGTGCTGATAATTCAGGTTTTTAAAAAAGGTTTTTAGTTTGCACTGTTCTAAGAGGATGTAGCACCAGTAGTAGTGTGTGTGCTTTATATAGTGCCCTTAATAAATCTCCACAGACAGATTTTTTGTTTAATTTCAAGGAAAAATAACCAGAGTAATAAACAGTTGTGTGACAATACATATATAACCCTGATGATACTTTTAACAAAAGAAACTTAGAGAACAGATCAGGTTTAATATTATTTTGTATCACAAACAGCATCAGAGTACAATGTTATCCTTTATTCAGAGAATTAGGTAGACGCTTGTTTACAGATGTGGGTACTGGGGTACCATTTATGATCACTAAGTGTGTGGCAATGTCAGCTGAGTTTCCATTGCTGGTGACCTTTGAGTTGTGGGAAATTGTTAATAAAATGCAAGACTGATGCAAACGTAGACCAGAACATGATGTAGATTTCAGTCATGGATGAGAACGACTCAGTGAAAACACTAAACTTGTACAGTACATAACCTTGGATTGTGAAAAAAAATGCCTGAGCCAAGGCTGATGGGCTGGATGGCAGGAATACATTCTCTGGGTGAGAAGAGGAAGCATTGGTGTTAAATAACCATGTTAACGGGTTAAACATCTCTTTAATGTTCAGTCTTACATGTGAGAAACCAACTTTCCTAAGAAAAGGACTGCTTAAATATGCTGCTTAAGCAGTGAAACTCAACATTTACAACCTGTTCTAACACCACTACTATGATGGTGCTTAAGAAACATCAACATTGTGATGTTTGTGGAATATTATGCCCTTTTGTTATAAGGCATTAGTTGAAAAAGTAACATTTAACCTACCGTTTACATCTTCCAGTTCAAGTGTACAGCATGATCCCATAATGTCCATTGTTTCCCCCACTGTCAGAGCCGATCACCACAAAAAGATCAAACAAAAACTAGCTACAAAACTTTATGAATAAAATTGCATTATCTTTATATAGATAAAATGTTAACAACCCCCAGAGATTGAAATACTTTACAAAGGTCCTTCTGAGAGCACAGATCTAGTGAATTAATATGTGATGCACAGGACCAAAGATGTTACACACTTTAATTTGATCAGTAAAAATCACCAGAAGCCTTCATTAACTTAACTACACCTTCCTCAGCTTATTAATACAAGGCTTTAATAAAATCCGGGGCTTTGACAAAAGTCCATAGAAACCTGTACATTTCTGAGGGCACTGACAGGAGTTTGTGAAATGACTGGCGTGTGGTTTAGTTGTTAGCTACGTCTGCTTGCCGAGGCCAATTGTCCTCCTCAATGCCAGAGTCATATTCCTCCTCTGTGGGCTCTTTGGCTGGAGCCCTGAAACAAGTGAATAATACCAAGTTACATACATTACAATGTTTCTGAACCCCACAGAGGTCATATCTAGGCAAGATATTTGATCAATTTAGCTCAATTTATAAGTGAGACAAAGTTCTAGGTGAAAAAATAAGATTTAACCAGCTTGTTACATTTTACATTATTTTAAAATTTTTTGAGCAAGGGCAGACACTGACCTGATATATCGAGGGTCAGATTTTCCATGAACAACTTCTTTGTTTAGTTCAACGGCAATAATGTCTGAGTGTGGTACCTCAAACATGGGCTCAAGTAGCAATTTCTCCTGTACATAATTAAAACAAAAAAAGAAAGTTGAAATGTCATTTTTTAAATCATAATAAAAACTATAAAAAATATATACCATTATGGATCTCAGACCACGAGCCCCAGTTTTCCTTTCAAGGGCCATCCTGGCAATGGCTCTCAAGGCATCTTGAGTAACATTCAGTTCACACTAAAAAACAAATGCAAAAATGTAAATTATACAAAATCTAACCTGATGAGAAGCCAACAAAAACACAACATACTTTATCCATACTGAATAAAGCTTGGTACTGTGGCACCACAGCATTGCGAGGTTCAGTGAGTATACGGACTAGTGTCTGCTCATCCAGGCTGTGCAGAGGCACCACCACAGGCAGGCGGCCTACAAACTCTGGGATCATCCCAAACTCAATAAGGTCCCGTGCCTCCACATGTTTCAGAAGCCTGTCTTTCTCCTCGATCTCTGCCACTGTGTCCGTCTCACCGCTCGTGTTCGCCAGGTCTGCAGCGGCTGCAGCGCGCCGACCTTTACCCAGATTTGATGGTGTTCCAAAGCCCAAATACTGTAGATCATACAATAAAGTGAAAAATGGAGTTCAAACTAAAATCCTCTTTACGTATAGTGCATCTTCAGATTACCTTTTCATTTTTTCTTCTGCTGATGATTCTGTCAAGTCCATTGAAGGCACCAGATGCAACAAAGAGAATATTAGTTGTGTCTACCTGCACAGTCTCTCCTCTCAGTTTTCTTGAGTTTTTCTCTGGAACATTAACAATGGTCCCTTCTAGCAATTTAAGCAAGCCCTGCGATAGAAAAAAATATACATTTACTAAACGAAAATTGCGCAAATAAGAGAAACTTAAAAACAAAGTAAAGAGAACAAGTCGTACCTGCTGGACTCCTTCTCCTCCAACATCTCTTAGCTGGTGTATTCCTGGTACACTGCCAATCTTATCTACCTCATCCAGAAACACAATGCCTGCAAGAACAAATGTTGAGAATATACGGTCAAATAGCAGAGTTCTATTTGAACACATTGTTACTATGACAACAAAATGTTACACAGTGAGTGCAATGTGAAAGTTACACAGTAAAACAATATGGTTTAACATATAGTGGAGCTAAGCTTCTGAATTAGCAAACTCCTGTATCACTTCAAAGAGGTTCAATTTGGTCTTCGAATATTATCTCCAAATAAAGGTTCTTTTGTGTTTACATCTGATGGCGCCAACATTCCTTGGGGCTGTGATGCTAACTGAAGGTACTCCTCAACATGAAGCTTTTTTTTTAAATTACAGACTTTAATCTGATACCTTGACATGTTACGGATGCCTTCTACATCCTTCTTCAAACAAGACATATCACTGCAACATCACCACCCTTATGAAGCAGTATGTAGAAGGCATCCATGCTCACCTTGTTGAGCTTTTTCCACTGAATAGTTAGCATCTTGTAGCAGCTTGGCAATAACTGACTCAATGTCTTCTCCCACATATCCCGCTTGAGTTAGTGTTGTGCAATCACAAATTGCAAATGGGACATCAAGGCATCTGGCCAGTGTCTGTGCCAACAAAGTTTTTCCTGTAATAGATTTAATAAGGCAGGTTGTTGTAGTGCTGACATAATGTTGACCTACATATATTTGTAAACTGATACTTACCAGATCCTGTTGGACCTAAAAGGATTATGTTACTCTTCTCAAGTTTAATATCAGCATGCGTGGAGTCTAAGACCTCCCCCCCTCTCTTCTCCTGTGGAGCCTGCTGACTCGCCTGCTGCTGCATTGTTGCTCCCAGAGCATTTCCATGAGGACTGATCCCTGCAATCTGCAGTAACTCTGCAAAAACAAGCAGTATGCGAAGATCAACTTTCACCCTGAAATATTAAATGCAGAACTGGGAGTTAAAATCATTCGCTGCTACAGGGGTATAATTGCATATGGTATGTATTTGAAGGCCATGAGTTTTGGTTACAGGCTAATAATAAACCAGCTCTGGTCAGTGCAGCCCACAGAAAAAGCAGACATAAATAGGTCAGTGGGACTCTCCTATTATTGTTATTATGTTTACACCTTAAATTAACAGCAATTTTCTGCTTTACATCATGTTATCAATAGAGGTTTGCATGCCAGATGTGTCTGTACATTTTGGCATTTGTACAACTCAAAAATATTCACTTACTTGTGAATCTGTATTCATCCTCTCGTCTTCTCATCTCTAGCTCTACAAGAAGAGGATGAAATTACTCAAATCAATATTATTATTGTTATATCAATACTGAGGCAGTGCTGCAAGAAAGTGACAGTTGAGGGAAGTAATAAATAAATAAATAAATATATATGTATATATATATATATTGAACAAATGCCAAATAATACAGCATATTATGTATGAAAAATGCAACCACAACCGCATGATGGCTGCATCAGCATGGATGGCTAAAGTAGGTCAATCTTTATCTTGTTTTTAATCCAACTTGTCTTCCTACAAAAATCTGCAGAGATAGTTAAATTTCCCCTGAACAAACTACAAACAAACCTCGTGGTGTTAAAGAGGGCTGCTTCTCCACCTCCACTTGCTGTCTGTTACCAGCAGGGATGTTGTTGTAGATGCGTTTGTAGTGATTGTACACTGCAACTGCCAAAACCTTCTTTGCATAGGACTGTCCAACAACATATTTGTCAAGGTAAGCGTAAATCTGAAAAGAAACACAGCATATAACCCTCTGTGCAACTGTTGCTCAAAATTATGATTTTCTTGTGTTTGTCGTTACCTTCTTTGGTGGAGGAGGAGGTTTTTGTGCAAAGGCGAGTTTCACAGCTTCAGCTGCCGATTCTGGCTCTTTGCTGAGCCCCTTCTTGGAATCAGTTTCAGATAGTACCACGAAGAAATGATGGCACTTTCTCACATTTAACAAATCTTGTTGATGCTACAATAAAGAGTTTGATATAGGTTAACAAAATCATCTTTAGAACACTGTATAACATTTTCCTGAATAAATAGTGGGATTACTTACATACAAATGTTTCTACATGTGTACATGGATCTCCACATTTAGGGCAACGAAGCTGACTTCCCCCTTTGCCTGATCCTCCAGAGCCAGACAGCCTCTTCCCCTCACTGATACTTTTCTGTTTAAAACAGGTCAAGAGATGCTGAAACTAGTATAACCAAGGACATTAATTCCCTGATCCTGTAATAATCTATGAAGCTCTAAAATTACCTTTCCATCACCCCCTCCATCCTTCGTTGTTCCATCTTTAGAGGCAAAACAGACTGCAGTTTCTGAAAAGGTCCTCAGATGCAGTAAGGGGGGTAGATGCCTTTCCCGAGACCCCTGACGGCTCAAAGAATACAACTGAATCCGGGAGCATAACAATCCTGCAACAACAAGTACAGTTGGTCTTTTAGTCAATTTTAGGCAGTCAGTAATTAAATTGTATAATGCAAAATGCAAGTTCTATCCAACTCTGCATTCATATCTACAAAATATTGCAACTGAGAATTAAATATCTGTTTTATTAGTTTCCAAGGCAAAGACATTTCATTACTGTCAAAACAAACATCTGGGATCCAGGTCAAGACCTACTTTACGAGTTACGGCACACAGCACAATGTCACTGGGTGTTATTTCTTACCTCTGTGAGTCGTATTTAGAATCAACCTAGCAGCCGAAGTACATGTACTAGACATCACTCCTCTTTAGATTCTACCCCCTGAAAGAAAGCAACATATGGTACAACAAATGATGAAAATCTAGTTCAGTTGCTAATAGCGTGGAAAGTAAAGCTTCAACAGACCCGCTGCTAAACATTTCGTAACGTCGGCGTCACTGTTAGCATTAGCGTTAGAAACAGGCCATTTTATAATAGTTTTCTCTGCTAAATTTAAGAGCACAGGCTTACAAATGTATTTCTACAGGGCTGTTGTAACTAAACTCTGTGCCAGTATAATGACTGTAATGAGTGCTACACATTTAAAATGAGTGACACTGTTAAAAATCGTGTTAGCGAACTCAAATTAGGCCCAAACCAGTAAGGCTAACTCTTCACTGCCGTTGACGCTAATCTCATATCTTAACTGTGCAACTACTCCTGAAAGTTAAGTGCATAAACGATTTCATAAATACCATTTTGAAGGAGCATAAACAGACACACTGTCATTATCAAAAATTACTCACAGAGCACGGTGAAACCAATCGTATCCTGACAGCCCCTGCAGAAACGTAAATATGCTATGTCACTCCCCCTTCGCTGGTGTGTTTGTTTTACACCTCCGATTAAGACGTAAAATTCATTATACCAATAAGAAATATTTCTAAAATGAAAGATCTCGTTCTCGAGGCCTTAAATTCTTAGGTTGGACACCCAGTGTTGCAACGCTTGCTGTTTTGTAGTTTTTGCACCCCTCTTCATCCATGCCCTTCCCACTAGGTTACAGCATGTTAGCTAACATGTGTAGTATATGTAAATGGATGGCGTAAACATGGCGGCTTGGCTGTAGTTTATAATACAGGGCACATCTATCCAGCTCTTTAAACATCTACTATTTCACCGGCACGTCAACAGCGGTGATGCGTTTGCGTCTACATGTATAATACAAATACGTATGTATATTTAATGTTTATTGTATTATTTAATAATTTATTAACGATTGTTGTCCAAATAATATCAATAAAAAATAATAAAATTAGTTCTATAAACAATTCATTTGCAAAGAACATTTGACGGAAATATTTCCTGATTTATTTTCTTGAATTAAAATGGGGGTGTATTTTTTGATTTCTAAAAAGTCTAAAATTGCTGTGATATTGTGATTACTGAGTAAACATCCCCAGTGTTACATTTCTAAGTCCATATACATAATTACTCAGTTTTCCAAGTTACAAATTAAATACTGTGAAGGTAATGGTCAGTGTTTCATTTGAGAGCAGGGAGCATGAAGTATACACGTTTCCCCCCAAGCAAACCAAGTACAAAATGTTCCTAGAATGTAACCTATGCCAAGAGGACTACAGGAGAGAAAATGTATGGAAAAGACAATTTATTATAAACAAGGTAAATATTTGTGTTAAATTAATGTTACAGCAAAATAAAACAAAACCCCAAAATTATCAACAACAGAATTCCTTTAAATATTCACATATTTAAGTAACTTTATATTTAACTTTGCACACTTTAACACTGCGGTTGTCCCACATAATTAATTGTTTCATGTTAGGATAGTATGACATCATGGCTATGATTCCATTAGATGCACTTACATCAAAATTAGCATCAACAGATTTATTCTTTTCTAAGTCAAATGCATAAGAAATCTTCCTGTCTTTCTCATCGCTAACATAAACCACCCCACATGCAATAAAAGCATTGCCTGCTTTAGATGTAGGATATGCTATATCAATGAGAGATGTCACTGTAAAAGCCTCATGGTTTACTTTTGCAACCATCATTTTGTCATCTGAGTCCTGAGCAAAAATGACCCACAGTCCATTTTCATCCACAGCAAACTTAAAATAGGTCTTTGAGTTGTGAAAGAGGTAATTGAGGCTGTTATATCGGCTGTTTGTCATTGTGAGACTCTCCATTCTTCTTGTGTTCAGGTTGAACCTGCAAAGAGACAGTATTGAGTGTTCTAGTTACAGAAGCAATAAAAATTTATGATCCAAGTGAAATACTTACTTAATGAGTTTCTTAGTTCCAGCCAAGTGGAAATACAAATATCCTTTATAAACCACATGGCCACAGCCCTGGTAATACCCCTGCACATCTATAATTGTAGCACTTATATTTTGTAGTGCTGACGTGTTTATGTACTCAAGCAATATCCGACCTAACAAAAGAGATTTTTTTTTATATTTTTGAAAAGCACCAACATATATTCATGGACTTTAGTCACCTGAAAAGTGTTCTGCAAGCCAATATCGACTGTTATTTTTCAAAGAAGCATCCAGCATCCAAGCTCCAAAGGTGGTTTGCATTTCAGAGGCCTTCTCTGTACATTTGATGTTTTTTACAGTGCACTCTACATGAAAAATAAAATATGCTTAAAATACAATAGAAAAGAAAATGTGAGGAAGTGGGCACTTAAGGACACCAATACATTATTACCTGTCCTGACCGATGACAATGACTCTGAAAAAAAATAATTTTGTCTTTAGGGAAATTTTAGATTCCATGTAAGAGTTCACACATCTGGCATAACATTATAACCACTGAAAAACTCTTGCGCATTATTACACTCGTGAAATTTTTTAAAATTGGACACATTGAAACAGGAGGGCATTATAGTCTAGTTGTATTAGAGGTTTTCGGGCAATCGGTCAAACAGAAAACAACTATGAACATGGAGACATAATGCTATGTGAGTATGTATTTTCTTACCACTTTTCATATAGGCATCTATTAGATTTTCACTGACATTAAATTTAATCTGTTTGGATAAAGATGGGGCTGTAAAAATGAGAGAAAACAATTCAAATGTATTTCTTAGTAAAATGACATCTATTTCTTTCAATATTATTACTTACTTGGCGAAATCTGATATGCAGCTTCTGTAACATTTTCCATTTCATTCAACATTACTTGTGTGTTATCTTCTTTTTTTGATTCTGAAATAAAATCTATTACAGTGGAAATGGAAAATCTTTGAAGTTGCCCCTCAAAAGTATTTTTCTTACCAACTCTTATTGCAGGTTTTGACTGATTTAAATGTGTGGTATCCATGGCTGGTTCATGACTGGATTCTGCAGTAAAAATGTCATAAATAATATTGCATTACTTGATCCAACAAAACAAATAAAATAAGTATACCTGTTTTGCTTATCCTTTGGTAATCATTTGTTAAATGATCCCTCTTATTGCTGTGGCCATATGAAAAAACTATAGAAAAGGAAGGTTATATAAATGTTTTGTAAAAAAAGTCAAAAGTACAACACAAACTGTAATACCTGTTGAAGATGTCACTGGTGCCACTGTAGCCTTGGCAGTGATGGGGTCATTTACAATTTTGGTGTGACTTTTTTCTTTAAATGAGAGGGACTCCCAAAATTGTTGAAACATGTTTTGCTTTGCAGGTTGCGTTGTCATAACTTCATCACTGGTCTCTGAAGTTGGATGTACTGAAGGCGAATCTGTAGAAATGTGGAAAACGTAAGAGGCAGTTAAAAGGGTAGCATATTGTATATTAGAGCCCGACCGATATATCGGTTGGCCGATATTATCGACAGATATGAGCAAATGGAAGCATATCGGCTATCGGCCGATATACTTACTGATAGGGGCCGATATTTCACGTGGGCATGTTATACGTTGTTATAAATCTTAGACTCTCTACATTATGTTAATTTAATCCAATATACAAACAGATAAATGTCCTAATATGTGGCTCTGCGTCAGTATTTATCTGCGGAGTCATATGTCTGTGTCTGTGTCCATACTGTCCCTGAACACACCCCCACAGTCACGTGCGTTTGTTTACATCCGCAGATATAGATCCAAACACTGGGATTATATTCTTTTTACGGACAATCGGTTTGAGTCTGGATTAAAAAGACATTTATTAGTGCAGACTTGTGATGTGAGGAGGAGCCTGTGTGAGCGCTGAGTGTTGGAAATATGTCGACTTTGAAGCTAGTTTTTTGTCATTTGTTATGGGTTAGCTGCTGTAGCTCTCGCACATAAACAGGCTGTTTTCTATTGGTCTATTGTAAAGTGACTATATTGGCCGTATATTTGTTACTGGACCTGCATTGATTATGTAAATGAGCTGTGAATAGAGGTGTGAATGATTAAATTTGCGCATATAATTAATTACCGCGGCGCATATGCATTTACGGCTAAAGGCTAATAGCGACTGTTTATTTACTCGCTAGCAGTGATGGGTCGGTCGCGAACGAAGCGGCTCTTACAAGCGAACGACTGGAGCCTGATCCTTATTGGGATTGGGAGTCGTGTTTTCTCTGTCTCTCACTTTTTTTCTCTTCACGTTGCATGCAGACTCGTGATAGTTTGACAGCGGCAGCGACTAAAAACGAAACTTTCAAAAATATGCGTGTGCATAGGGTAAAAAAACGTGCATATATATATTCAGCATAAAATAAATAAACCAGGACAAATCTTGGGGTCGAGAGAGGGAGAGAGATAGAGACCGAGTCCCGACACTCAGTCCTGGTTAAGTTATGGTTTAGTCCTGTTTTAGTGCTTTTTCAGTCCTGGTTCAGTTCTGGTTTAGTCCTGCTTTAGACCTGCCTTAGACCTGCTTTAGTCCTATGACATATCATGTAAAGAGGCAGAATAACAATAAATGTTGCCTAAATAAACCCAGTTTAAAATCCACCAGAGCCAAACCTAAGTTTTTTTTTTTTTAATAATTCAAGATTTACAGTGAATTTTTACATCACTAAATATATCGGCGATTATATCAGCTATCGGCAGCTCTAACTCCCATTAAATCGGTATCATATCGGCCACAACAAAATACATATCGGTCGGGCTCTATTGTATATTATACAAAGTCATACCTGGTGAAATTTTGTTTTGTGTCTTTTTGATGTTTTCTTTATTCAAAGGTTGACTGTTGTCTTTATCCTCTTGAGGAAGTAGTGTGGGTATAGAGACTGGTTTAAAAGAAATTGGTTATAATAACACCATAATATATAATATATGTTAACTACCACATATAGTGACAATAAAACTCACCAAATAATCTATTTTTATCTGAAAATTCCACATCTGTTACTTGTAAGACAGTGTTCACTTCAAGAGTTGGAGAATGTGATTGAGGGACTGTAACAAGCATATTACTCAATATTACATAGTATACAGCTTACAGAAAAATAACTTATGTCGTAACACACTATATTCATACTAGGCAATGTGGGTGGAATGTTTTGCTAAAATACCCAACACCAGTTTAACTTTAAAAGATCTGAATGAATATGTATTTCTTTGATGGCTATTATAGATTACCCAATGACCTACTATTGAAGTATATCTAATATAGTTTATAGTGTACCAACTAAAGTAGCTAAAGAGTGTAGTTTTAATGATGTAAAACAAAACAATGCATTTAAACAGTGATAATCACCTGATTCAGTGCTCTTGTCTAACAGTTTGTTAGAATTTATCACCTTTAAAAGATTTTCATAAGTTGTTGATGAAGTGGGATGTTCTGTGAAAAATATGATTAAAATATAATGTTATAGTTTATAATACTGGAATATTTGGGACACTAATATCATCTTACCTGGGATCTCTTCTGTGACACTTTTACTTTTAGAGGCTAGAACTGGATTTAGTGATGGAAGCACTGTAAAAATAAGAATAAGAAGATAAATAAATTAGGGGGTGACAGTAAAAAAAAAATCTAAACACATTTAATGACTGTAAATAGCTGAAGAATTGTTCGTTTATTACCTGATTTCATGTTCTCAGGATTTGTAACAGTAGATGAATATGTTGGTGGCAACCTTGGTTGATCTGAGTAATGAAAGACAAAGATCCCTTGTTAAGGAAGTGAAGAAAATAATGTAGCATCAAATTGCACTTCATCAGCTTCTTACTAGAAACTGTTGAGTCATGGTCAAATCCAGGAGTTGGAGCAGTCGATGGAATCCCTGTGTAAAAAGATTAAGGTTACTTAAAAGGTACACACGCAATGCTTCTTTAAAAGTTTACCCTACTTGTTATTGAGATGTTTTTTGGTGCTGTTATGTCCTCTTTATCACTGCTGGTGTTGTCTGATTCAGTTGGCACTGTAGCTAAGAGTGGAGATGATTTAGCTCACTGTCAATTTAACACTTCTCTCATCCAACAAAAACATGTGAGGTAGTTGGGTAAATTCTCACACAAGCACATGCACACACACGCATGCACGCACGTTCGCACGCACACACACTAACACGGAAGGATACAGAATATGATTGCATACCTGGTAGGATATTAATAAAGCCCTCAGTAGTGGTCTCTTTGTAGAGATTTCTCTGATCATTTATGGCAGTAGTTACAGCCTCTGCAAAACATATATATATATAAAAATATAAAAGCAGCTGGTTAGCTCAACTCTGGGAGATAACCCGAGCTGGATGATATGTGTGTGTGTGTGTGTGTATATCTATATATATCTATATCTATCTATATCTATCTATCTATATCTATCTCTCTATCTCTCTCTCTCTCTCTCTCTCTCTCTTTCTCTCTCTCTCTCTCTCTCTCTCTCTCTCTCTCTCTCTATATATATATATATATATTTATATATCTTACCATCACTGTGAGATTGTGTTTTGATGTAATTGGTGTCGTTTGAAGGACGATCTAAGTCTGATATTAAGCAGAATAATGAGTAAGCAAGGTATAAGGTAAGGTGTAAGGTATATTAAATTGATCAATCGTCTTACCAGTCTGGTTACTTGTGGAACTGTTTGAGCTTGCTGTGGGACTAACAATAAAGCTCTCACCAGTTTCTGCATGCCTTTCTACAGCATAATGACAAGAGATAAATAGTTGGGTAGAGCATGTTAATAGACAAACTGACAAACTGCAGAAAGTCCTTTACCCAAGAGCTTATTTGATTGACAAGTTTGTCCAGTGTGAGATTTTATAGTTGTTTTACAACAGGCTGGACCAGGAGGCCCAGGTAGGCCAGGTGGACCAGGTGGACCAGAAGGACCTTAGAAACAAATACAAACAAAATGTATTTACATGTCCTTTGACTTTTAATGTATTTAATGGCATATACTTGGTATACTCTTAAACAGCAGCACATCCAGCGCATCCTTACCTTCAATGAAAATGTCCTCAAAAGTTTCTCCTTTCAGGACTCTGAGAGGCCCAGGGTCCCCTTTAGGCCCAGGTTCACCTTTTTCACCAGGAGGACCTATGAAATCAAAAGTCAAATAACATGTTATGATTAGTTTTATACAGTGCAACACTTTCTTATCGACATATTCATTTTCTTAAAGGTGCACTTTGTATTTTTTCTTGTGAAGGGTCTGGCATTTGCTGGTCCCCGTGGAGATGTCACTGCTTTGCCTGGACAGTTGTATGGTATGGCAAACTTACGTATCTTCATCGAGACAAGCAGGTGACACCAGTGGGCCAAGTTATAGCTTATAGGTCAGACTGTTGATGAAGCAATTCTGCTCACAGTAAGATTAAACATGTATGTTTTTGTAGGTATTTTTGTATCAGTAAAAACACCTGTAACTGAAAGAATGCAAGATATATCAATTTAATGTCATACTGTGAAACATTCCTGACAAAGCAAAGCCATCACCAAGAGACAAGCAGGTGGCGGATCCTCCACCTGAAACGTTAAAAGTTACAAAGTTCACGTTTAAAGCAACTTTATGCCTGCACTCTTCATTTTAAAAGAGGTACTACAATCACAACTGAACCTAGGATGCCCTTACCTTGAATACAGAGGACACATACAAGTTCTATGTCAGTTTATGGTCAGGTCATGCCTCATGTGAGAGCTCAGAACCTCCAGAATTCACTCACTGAGAGAGTCGTGAGGCTCATTCAGCTTTCTGATTGAATAATTGTCTTGAGAACCAACATAGCAATAACAATTTGGCCATCATGTTTTTGTAATTAAGAATAAATCAGCTTTACAATTGTTTTCAGTAAAAGCTATAATTCATTTCAAAATGTCTAGCTGGGAACACAGATTTATGGAATTTAATATTAAAAAATATAGTTCCTTTAAAACCCTCTGAGCTCATGCACTGCAATATTACAATAATAAAAAAAAAACACCAAATCAATTATAACTGTCTATGATACATACTACATGTTTCTCAACTCTGGAATGGAATCACATTTGAATGTCTATCAAGCACAAGAGTGATCATCTGCTACAGGACTCCATTATTATTGGGCTACTATGAGTGAAGGCATTTATCATAAAAAACTATAGAAATGTTAAAAAGAACTCTTCATATTTGTGGGCCAAGTTGTAAATGTCCTATGTGTGAAGTGGTGTAATTTGAGTCTCTGATAGAGAGAGTGGGATGCAGATGTTACATAACTATCACTGAACAATGAACATCTGTTTGTAACTGACATGTCTGTCACTTTTGAATTCATCTGCTCTGTACAGTGAGATAAACAGTCTCCCGGGACTCTCCCTAAGCCCCAAGAAAACAATACTGCTTCAGATTTCACACTTACCCCGTTTTCCTCTTCTCCCTTCTGGACCAACAGGACCCTGGGGTCCCCTGGAACCTGCCCTACCAGGAATACCTAGAAGAAAGAAATGTTTATAAATATAACTTCTCTTACAGAAGTATTAAAGTGTGAATTTACCTGGTGGTCCGGGTGGTCCTGATATACACAGCAATGAAAACAAAAATATTTTAGATTTATAAGAGTAAATGTGTGCGTGCTGAGTATATGGAAAAATACCTGTTAAGCACATTCCTTTAGAGCTGTTACAAAGCTCAATGAAAGCTTTGATCTGAAACAGAAAACCAGAAGGCATTGTGGTTTTGACTACACTGCTGATAAAATACTACGGTAAACTGAAAGAGAAATATTAAATTATATTAAATCTGACCACAATACACATTGTTTACTATTTGTGCTGGTGATAAAATATAGATGGATCCTTCCTGTTTATGCCTCTAATGAAAGGTTCCCATGGAGCAGACAACAGCCATTCTCAGCTGCTGTTCTCATGTGCGCTCCTTCAGCAGGGTCAGAAAAGTAAATTCTTTACATTGCACAGTTTATTTCCCAAGCAGGAAAAGTGAAATGTTTCCATAAAATATAGCATGCAGCTGCTTGATTCACATTGTAAATCCATTTACAAAACTACTGAAGTAAACAGACTTCTTGATTACTGATATTAAATTATTAATAAAATCATCAATATTACATCAGAGCAGTTGAAGGGCACAATGAGCACTATTAAAGTAAAAAAAAAAAATACAGCCATGCTAATTATCCACCCAAACAAATTTCCTAAATGAAACAATGCATACATTTGTAGTTATTCCACAGAAACAAAAGATCAAAAAAGCTGACTTACTGGTACAGAGGAGTAGGTGACCAGCATCAACATCTCCTCATCCTTATCGGTGATGGGTGGTAGTTCTCCATGGTGGCTTCTCCTAATACGTTGGACCTTTTTAAGTTTTTCTGCCTCTTCTGGATCCAAGGTTACAACCCCTGTCCAAACCTTCTGGGCCAGTCCTTGCACCTGCGTGTCCAGTTTGGTCAGGTCTTCATTCATCTGTCTGTTTTGTAGCAGTAAGTAGACCAAGCCTGCAGAACATAGTAGAAGCAAAAGACAATGGGCTAGTAGCAGGACTTTAAGTTGCACTGAAACTCCATTGCCTTCCTTCATGTTGCTTGGTCCTCACTGCACAGTGATCTGGAGTTCTCTAGCACACGCAGCGCATATCTGATTACATGCCAGCTACCAAGACGTCACAGGGAATCTACACGCAAGCTACAGCAGAGGAATAAACATGTCTGCTCCAGCCACTTTACGCATTACGCAACAGTCTGCATCTGGTAAAAAGTGTAGGGCTTCTCATTTAGAGGCAGGGTCTTGCAGAATGGCATCCAGACAGCCGTCGCTTGAGGACAGTATCAGCAGTCAAATCCTACTCAAAACGACATGGAAGTGGAATAAATGAGTTGGTTTCAAAGATGCTATTATTGCAATAAACAAAGAATCATTCATGGCAGTTTCAGTCAAGTGTGTGTGAACATCTTCTGATCTAAAGTTTTGCATGGTTTTAGTACATTTTTTTGTGTTGTCCAGGGTTTTGTGCAGATATTGGTGATGACTGGTGCAAGCAAGTGACTGTCTAGGAAATGTCCTGTAGTCCTGATTTTGAATTACTCAGCTTGTCTATGCCTACAGAGGGAATTTAATAATGTCATCATCAGTGCCGCATATGTACCCCCAGCAGGAATGTAACAAAGGCTGCAAGTAGTATTGCAAAATGTGTTCACAAACAACTTCAGCGCACACTGGAAGCACCTGTATTTATTCTTGGAGACCTTAATTATTGCTGTTTGAGGATTTACTTCATGTTTTTTATCAATACATACAGTGCAGCCCGGCAAGGATTAAGTTCTTGATAATGCTATGCCAACATATAAAATGCTTACAGAGCCAAATCCCCCCCACCCCTCACAAAGTCTGACCATGCCACTGTCCACCTTATGCCCACTTATAGAACAATGCTTACGGCATCAATACCACAGAAAACAGTGCTGCAGTGGTATGAGGACAGTGTAGAAACTTTGAAGGGCTGCTTCTCTTCTACAGACTGGAGTATTTTCCATAGTTTAAGCCACAGAGACAATAACAGACTATATTAGGTTTTGTGTTGACACAATTGTCCCTAAGAAGACTATGCAGCACTTCCCAAATAACAAGCCCTACACTACCAAGGAGATTAAAACATTAACAAAAAGAGGCATACATATAGAGATAGGAACATGGTGTGATTGGCCGCAGCCCAGAAAAAAAGAAATAAAATGGTTGAATAGGCAAGAGAAAAGCACAAGGTCACTTTAGAGGGAGCTTTAAGTCACGTGACGATGATGTGGGACTCCATGAAGAAAATGACCCACATGGCAGCAGGCAAGACTCAGTTGGTGACTATCAATGATAAGGAATGCACTAATGTCCTCAATGACTACTTTTTAAGATTTAATGAGCAAAATGATTGTGATACTGTTTTAACATTTGATTGCGATTATTTTGAACACTGTGCTGGTAATCTCTCTCACCTGTTGCATGGCAAATATGAAATTGTTCCATCAGACAGGCACCATCGAGCGCATAATTAAGAGTAACAGATAGAGAAACTCTCATTTGTGCCCACTTCTCTTGCACTCTTGAGCAAATCTACATAACAAAGGTGCACTTAAGTCACTTTATATTCAATGGTGCAATAACTTGTACACTTTATGGTTGTGCAGTGCACAAATGGACAATGGACATTAATAATGGACACATATATCTTGTGATGAGGTCTGAGTGTTGTTTGACTGTAGTGTTATGTGTGAGCGTAACTGTATTTTTAATCTTCGGGCAGTGAGGTAAAGACAAATTTCACCTTTAGGACAATAAAGTTTGTTATCTTTTCTCAAAGCCTACACAAGTACTGTCATTAATCTTCTGTTGAATAACACTGATGCAGAACCAGGAATTGCTTTAATAAATACTCTGGCATAGTCTTATTTCATTACTTTTTTACCATGTTGGTCATTTCAAAATGTAGTCGATTTTATCATGGTGCATATACTGTAATCATTGTAGGGTTTTTTGACAATAAAAGAAAAAGACACTTGCTTTTGTGCCCGGTGCCCAAATCCCTATTCCTTTCTGCACAGGTCAGGCTGACCCAGCTAATTACTTTCCTTGTAAAAGACTGCCTGCTTGGAAGACCTGGGTGGTGAGCTTTCTTTCTATTGAACAAAGCAAAGTACGATGTAAGCCTGAAGAAAAGATGTACTGGACGAGCACTTTTAGACGGTGGTAAATTGTTTTTTTTTTTTGTATTTTTGTGTTTTCTCTTTCTCTTGTCTTGGTGCCATGCCATGGATCTGTACTTGTAACCCCAGAGGGTGCAGTTTCCAGGCAACCACCAAAGTGAAGGTTTAACCAAGGATTTATAAACAGTGGGTGATGATTTTGGAAGACAAATGCTCATCTGCAACTCCAGCAGCAACAGTGATCTCTCCAAGCACAACCTGCCAGAAGATAAGGTAACGGCTTTCAATTTAAGTTAATGAGTTAATTATGCATTATAGAAAATATGAACCCAAAGTTATATTTTAATACCACAAATGTGCTCTCTTTGCACTCTGATGTTGTGGGGTTTAATTGAAAACACTGCTACCTTATTACTTGACATTATATATTTTTTGCCATTAATAAGATGACCTGTTTTGGGTGAGAACAATATTTGAAGCACACCCAGTTCAGCTCCCTAAACTTGTCACTGTGTTGAGCTGACAAGCCCTTATACCATGTAACTGTATGTGGCGGATTGCATAATCTCAACAACATCATCCTTTTTATACCTGATTTTTAGTTGGAGCCATGGAGAATTTGCTGCGACCACTCACAATTAGTTCTATGATGGTGCATTCAGTGTCTGAGGTTACGGGGTTCCTATTTTTTCTGCTTTTGATCCTGATGATAACTGCTTGGAGACGGATGCGGAGCTCCTATGTTCCAGGTCAGCTACATGGCAGAACAAAATATTTAGTTATTGCTATTCCTATATACAGTGCTGGGAACTAGTGGAAAACATGAACCGAGAGTACTGTATTCCAGTACTGTTACGCTTTCATTTGTATTGTATTAAGAGTAGCAGTAGTAGTTGTTTATTCTGTTATTTTGCAGATGTACAACAAACATAGATTACAACCCCATTTGGATCATGACCAAAAGGGTTTAAGATGAAGTACTTCTGTGTGCAGTATATGAACAGCAAGTTGCGTTTGACTTACGACTTACTGTATAAATAAGAGAAAAATTAAATAAAATAATATGAAAGAAAAGAAAAGAAAACTGAATGCATAGTTCATTCCAGAGCTCCATAGCTTTCAAAACATAATCCTATATACCCATTTTTAAGGCTTCTACAGTACTGAACTTTTTAAAATACAGTTATAGCTATACTTAGTTTGCAGCTTCTTTCTAAAATCAAAGGAATACATTAAGGCATTTGAT